CAACATGGGATGAGCCCGCGGGGATTTGATTGGATTTCACTGTCATTTCAGATTCAGTCTCCGCGGGGTGGGCGAGGCGGGGGCGGGGCTGACGTCGGGGCTGGGTCAGGGTCCCACACCTTGCAGTGGTTGTATGGCTGCGTCTTGGGACCAGATGGGCGCCTCCTCCAAAGCTATGACCAGGTGGCCTACGATGGCGCCGACTACATCGCCCGGAACGAGGATCTTCGCTCCTGGACAGCTACCGACATGGCGGCTCAGATCACCCGGTGCAAGTGGGAGGCAGCCGGTGAGGCGGAAGAGATGAGGAGCTACCTGGAGGGCCCCTGCATGGGGTGGCTCCACCTTTACCTGGAAAAATGGAAGGAGACCCTGCAGCCCGCAGGTACCAGGGGCCCTGGGGCGGGCCCTTCTCCCAGGGGCTGGGGCTCTTACAAGGAGACAGGACAGGGGGTCAGAGTCAGACACCCCTCCTTGGGGTAAGGGAGGGAGTCCCCCTGGATGTCAGGTCAAGTACCAAAGGGACCCCCCTCCTCTCAGGGAGAGTTAAGGGTGCAGGCTCTCCTGGGGTGCACGGAGACCCCCCTGCAGTAACCCATCAGCTGTTCCCATGGGCCCTGCAGGGGCTATGGGACCCATGTGGACTTTCTCTCTCAGGCCTTGTGCGCTGCCCACACCCACTGTGTCTGAGGCCTGACCACAGTTTTTCTGAGTCACGTGGCCTCCACCCAGGTCAGGACCACAAATCCATTTTCTTTCCTCAGAGACCTGCCTCCTGTCCTGGGCTGTGTCACTCTGAGTCTAGAACTTTCTAAAGACTAGGTCCTAGTGATGCGAACCTTTTAAGCTCGGTGTGCCAGCATTTTGAAAAACCCTAACTTAACTCTGGTGCCGTGTCACATATAGAAATTTTTTTATATTTGCAACCATAGTCAAACAAAGACTTATATTTTTGATATTTATTTTATATATTTAAATGCCATTTAACAAAGAAAAATCAACCAAAAAAATTGTGTTCGCGTGTAACCTCTCACACGTGTCATAGGCTCGACATCACTGTCCTAGGAGGTCATTAGGTGCCTCTGTGCAGGCTGGTGTGTGGGCTGTTGAATCCTCCCCCATCCCAGGTGTCTGTCCATTCTCAGGATGGTCACATGGGCGCTGCTGGAGTGTCCCATGGCGGATGCAAAGTTCTTGCATTTTCTCCCCTCCCCTCAGACCCTTCAAAGGCACATGTGACCCATAACCCTGTCTCTGAGCGTGAGTGAGGTCACCCTGAGGTGCTGGGCGCTGGGCTTCTACCCTGCGGACATCAGCCTGACCTGGCAGCGTGATGGGGAGGACCAGACCCAGGACATGGAGCTGGTGGAGACCAGGCCTGCGGGGGACGGGATCTTCCAGAAGAGGGCGGCCGTGGGGGTGCCCCCTGGAGAGGAGCAGAGATACACGTGCCATGTGCAGCACGAGGGGCTGCCTGAGCCCCTGACCCTGAGATGGGGTGAGGAGGGGCCATGGGCACAGAGCCTCTTCTCAGGGCATCAGGGTCCCTGGGGTCAGGGCCCTCACCCTCCCTTCCCTTCTCCTCCCAGAGCCGCCTTCTCAGACCTTCATCGTCTTCATCATCCTGGGCATCGCTGGGGGCCTGGTTCTGCTGGGAACTATGGCTTCAGCTGTGATGTGGGGGAGGAGGCGCTCAGGTGGGCAGGGGTGGGGTCTGAGTGTCTGTCCCCCTGACAGCACCCAGGGCTCTGATGTATCTCTCTCACTTTCTAAAGGTGAGACCCTGCCGTGGGGAGGGGTGGGCAGAGGGGAAGACTGGGTGGTGGGGAGTCTGTGGGACACTGTGAGCATGAAGTGGGCTTTGAGAATGTCATCAGTTATAGCCACTGACCTGAATCTGTTCATGATGCTTGTCCTCCACAGGGTGAGGCCGCTGCCTTGTGGGACAGAGTGATGGAAGATGTTCACGCTCCCACTTCCTCGGCAAGAACCTCTGATGGGGGGCTGGCCCCGTCCTGCTCCCCACACTTTCTGCTCCACCAAAGGCGGGGCTGGGCCCTCACTATCGCTGTATTTACTTCCTCGTATTCTGAGCTGCCAGCTGTTCCTTCCACATTGAAATGAGGTTGCAGATGTGACTTTGTTCATTTGTTGCCATGAAAGGTTGGTGGGTAAATTGAAGGAGAAGATTCTAAATCTTGATGGGAAATAAATATAAACACCAAGAACTTTTCACAGCTCATGTGTTTGCTGTGCTCAGCTGTCCCAGGTGTGGACAGGAGATTTTTTTAAAATATATATATATATTATTAGGAGAAAGAAGATGGCAGCGATATAGGCAGATGCGGCCCAGGTCGTGTCCCGGAGCAAATGGAGTGAGCAGCTGAAACTAATAACACCCACTCCGAATTGGCGAAATTGCTCAGCTGGTGAGACGGTTTGCAGACGGGAAGGGCAGAACTCCCCTGGAAAGGTAGAAAAAAAAAAACACAGGGATTTGGGAAGGAAAATTTGTCAGACCTATGAGCCAAGAGGGTCGGAGGGGGA